AGGGCAGGAGCACCCCCGACGGACAGAGGACGGGCAGGGTCAGAGACCAGAGCGGTAGCGTAGTCAAGGCGGCGGGTAGAAGCGAAGTCAGCGACAGCAGCGACAAGCGCGTCAAGGCGCGAGACAGGAACAGCAGGGTCGGTAACAAGAGAGGCAAGGACCCGAGGGACAAGGGGACGAGCAGCACGGAGGTAGTCAGAGAACGGAGGAGGTGCAACAGCAAGGGACGAGGGAGGAGGGGACGGGAGGAGGGGAGGACGAGACGAGTGGGAACGGAGCAACATAGGGTGGGTGGGCAGGACAGGAGAGACGGGACGGGCACGGGAGGGACGGCGAGCCCAAACGTGAGACGGAGGGGTAGGGTCAGGGGACAGCGGAGGAGACACAGGAGGGGAACGAGGAGGAAGACGGGCCGGAGACGAGTCTGGCGGCGGGAACACAGGACCGTAGACAGGGAGGTCAGGAGGCGGTGGGGGAGACACCGGCGCGCGGTCCGGGGAGGGAAGGCCGAGCAGGCGGAGAGCGGAAACCGGCGGCGACGGCTGCTGTGGCGGCGACGACGGCTGGGCCGGAACTCTCGGACCAGCAGAGGCAGAACGACCGTCGGCAGAACACTCAACAGCAGCACCCCCAGAACCAACACCCCAAGAGCGAGAACCCCCTCCAACACCAGCGGCACCCCCAGAAGCCGCAGGACGAACACCCTCCTCCACACCAGCACCCCCAGGGGCCGAGAGCAGCGGCGGCAGTGGCGGCGACAGCGGCGACGGCTGCGGCGGCGACGGCGACGGCGGCGGCAGCGGGGTCGGCGACTGCGACAGTGGGGGCGGAGGCACTGGGGAAGGGGGACGCGGCAAGGACGGACCGGGGGTACCACCAGAGTCAGCAGACTCCTCAACGGGGACAACCGACGGGAGGGGAGTGACGTGGGAGACACCAGACGGGGCAGGACGAGGCGGGAGAGGGGCAGGGGCTACCGGGGGAGAGGGAGCAAGGAAAAGGGGGGGGGCAACTGGGAGACCTCGGTGAGGGAAGCGGCGGTAGAAGGAGACGGACTCGTCAAAGGTGACGTCACGAGAGTGGAGGAAGCGGTGAGACGGCGGGTGGTAGAAAAGCCAGTCAGACGAGTCCAGGGGGAAACCGAGGAAGACACAGGGGACAGTGCGGGCAGTGAGCTTGTCCGTGCCAGAGGCACGAACGTGAGCAAGGCAGCCCCAGACGTGGAACGCAGACGCGTCACCGGGGGACCCGGTCCAAAGGAGGGTCGGCGAAACCTGCGGCCGCTGGGAGCGTGGCCACAGGTTAAGCTGGTGAGCCGCGTAGCGAACAGCGAACGGCCACAGAAAATGGGGGGCATCGGCATGGATCATGGAGGTACGGGCGACCTCCATGACCAAGCCGATGCGGCGCTCAGCAACCCCATTCTGCTGTGGCGAGTCCGGCAAGGTGTACGACTGGGTGATGCCCTCTGCACGACAGAACTGTCCAAGCCGACCAGAGGCAAACTCGCCGCCACGGTCGGAGTGGAGACACAACACGGGGAGACCGCGGTGGAGACGCGCAGCTACAACCCACGGGAGAAGAACGTCGGGCACGTCGGCCTTCCGCTCCAGGGGAAACACCGTGGTGTAGCGCGTGTAGTCGTCAACGAGCACAAGGAAGTAGCGCTCACCGCGCGGTCCGGGGACGGGGGCAGGGCCCCAAACGTCCAAGTGCAGGGTCTGAAGGGGGGCAGTAGCAGGACGCAGCGAGGAGGAGTGAGGAGCACGGCGGAGCCGACCCTCGACGCAAGGCGTGCACGGTGGCGCAGTCGAGGGAGGAAGGGCAGGGAGCGACGCGGGGAGACCTAAGACAAGACCGTGCTGGGACATGTGACGCAGACGCGGGAGAGCAGGGTGACCTAAGCGGTGGTGCCAGAGAAGGGAGGGGTGAGTGAGGGACCGACACGAGCAAGCTGCAGCGACCTGGGAGGACGCACCAACCGGGGGGGAAGCGGTGTGTAGGGTAAACAGACCGGACACCGGGTCCCGGGGGAACGTCGCAAGGGGGGAACCTGAGACAGCCTCAGAACAGACAGCGAACCGCTCGTGCCCGGGGAACGTGGTGGTGACGCCGAGGTCCTGGAGACAGCCGACACCAACCAGGTTCCTGGAGAACGAGGGAACGTGGAGGCCAGTAAGGGAGCCTGAGGGAACTGCCGGACAGGGAAGGGACGTAGAACTGCGCGCGACGACCGGACCCGCAGAGGGGTCAGCAAGAGAGACAACAGCAGGTGCAGCAAGCGGCGTGAGCGTGGAACGGTCGCGGAAGAAGCAGGCAGAAGCACCAGAGTCGAGAGTGAAGGACAGCGACGCAGTGGCGGAGGCCGCGGACGGAGCCGGTGCAGCGACTAGACTAGGCAACCTAGGCAGTCCTACGCCTGTCGCAGCAGGGGAAGCTAAGCTACACAAGGGTGAAACACCTAAACTAGAGTACACATGGTAGTAAGATCCATCAACACTAGAAGCGTCAGCATACAAAGCATGCAAAGCAGCACCTATCTGATCCATGTCTAACTCAAAGATCGGCACGCCCTGGCGGAGCAGGCTGTGCCAGTCAGGGAGGTCCGGGGCCGGGCCAAAGCGACGACGAAAAAGATCGTCGAGGCGGCGGAAACAGTGGGCGGTCGGGTGCGGGCGGCGGCACAGAGTGCCGCGGAGAGGCCCGGTCTGAAGCTGGTACTGGCAGGTCACAGCACTGGAGCCGCTGGTAGACGCCAAGCTGCGCGGGCCGCCACCACGGCCACCGCCTCCGGAGGTGCCGGGCCAACCAGGCAGGAGACGAGCCCACGGCTGCGGCGGGTGCTGCTGGGACGGCGGCTGCGGCTGGGGCTGGTCCTGCTGCTGCTGGGACTGCTGCTCCTGCCCACCGGTGGTAGTCCCCTCAGGCGGACTACCGTCACCACCACCACGACCACTACCACCTGCGTCACCACCCCTACCTCCCTGGCGGCCACGGCCACCGCGACGCGAGCGCTGCTGCGGGTGGACAGCAGCAGCCGTCTCGGTAAGAGGGGTCGCCGTGGCGACCGCAGCCGAAACGTCAGTGAACGTGCACGGGGATGGGGCACAACCGTGAAAGATAGAGACTGCCGGCGCACCGCTCGACTGAGCGATAGTGCGCTGGCGAGTCTCGATCTCAGTGAGGGTGTCGACAAAGGCGGTCAGGGTGAGGTCACCCGGGTGCTGGCTAAGAAAGTGGTCGCGAGCACTAGCGAGGCGGTCTGGCAGGCGCATAGCGATAAAATAGAGCGTCATGCAGAAAGGAGGGGGGAGCGCAGTGAGCTGGGCAGCAGTGCTGGCAGTGCGATAGCGAGTCTCTAGGGCACGCAAATGAGTGGCAAAATCTGCGACAGTAGGGAAGGCAGCCAGGTCTGGGAACAGCATCGGAAAGAGCAAGCGGCCAGCAGAAGCGGAGGCAGGGATGGAATAGCGAGCAATAACGGCGTCTAAATAAGTTTTGGCCGTTTCAACAGTAGCAAAACGCGAGCGCTCAGACACAGGGAGGGCGTGACTAATAGCAACCTGAGCTACTGCATCGCGTGAGTCCCAGACCGCACAGGCTAGCGCAGCAGTAGAGAAAGCCTCACGGTCATCAGAGGAGGGGTCAGCAGGGAGGGGAGTAGGTGCAGGGGGACGGGGGAGCAAGCCATCAGCATGGACAACCAGAGAGTGGCCATCCTGGCGCTGACCTGTAAGCTGGCGGCGAAGATCGGAGAGCCAGGCGGCGAAGTCAACCGCGTGGCCCTCAGCGTCCAGGCGGAGCACAAAGTCAGCCATCGTGCAGGGTCAGCGGCACAGCTCCTCAGCGACACAGCGGCACAGCAGCACAGCTCCTCAGCGGCACAGGAGCACAGCGGCGCGGGGACACGGCGGCAGCACTCTCCAGTAGGGCAGCAGCTAGGCGTCCCAGCGCAGGCAAGCAGAAGACACAGGGCCCGAGAGGACACGGCAGGCCGAGCAGGGGAGGCGGGCAGGTGCTCTAGGGCCGGGCTGGTGCTGGGAGGGGCCAGGCTGGTGCTGCTGGGGCCGGTCGGGCACGAGGAGGGGCCGGGCAGCGCTGAGGAGAGGCCGGGCGGCGCTAGGAAGGGGCCGGGCGGCACTAGGAGGAGGCCGGGCGGCACTAGGAGGAGGCCGGGCGGCACTAGGAGGAGGCCGAGCGGCACTAGGAGGAGGCCAGGCGGGCGAGCGCTAACAGCAGGCGCGACAGGGGCCAGCGGGCGCGACGGGGCCTAAGGGGCGCGACGGGGCCCAGCGGGCACGACGGGGCCCAGGGGGGGCGCGACGGGGCCGCGGAGGCGCGACGGGGACCAGCGGGCACGACGGGGCCCAGGGGGGGCGCGACGGGGCCTAGCAGGCGCGACGGGGCCTAGGAAGCGCGAAGGGGCCCAGCGGGCGCGACGGGGCCTAGGAGGGGCGCGACGGGGCCGAACGGGCGCGACGGGGCCCAGAGAGGGGGGACGCGACGGGGCTTAGGAGGCGCGACGATGCCTAGGAGGCACGACGGGGCTCAGCGGGCTCGACGGGGCCCATGGGGGGCGCGACGGGGCCTAGGAGGCGCAACGGGGCCCAGCGGGGGCGCGTTAGGGCCTAGGGGTCGCGACGGGACCCAGTGGGCGCGACGGGGCCCAGGGGTAGCGCGACGGGGCCTAGGAGGCGCGACGGGGCCCAGCGGGCACGACGGGGCCCAGGGGGGGCGCGACGGGGCCTAACGAGCGCGACGGGGCCCAGGGGGGGCGCGACGGGGCCGAGGGGGCGCGACGGGGCCTAGGAGGCGCGACGGGCGGAAGCGGTAGGCGGGGGGATCCTAACCTAAGCGTGATACCATGTTAACGTAGAAACGAATGATTACTAGAGGTGGAAACCTAGAACAAATACTAGTTGGTTGTACTCACTAGAAGCATACCTCAGTCTAGCCTATAACTTCTACATAGATAATATGTATAAGTTGACACTAGAAGCATACCTCAGTCTAGCCTATAACTTCTACATAGCTAGTATGTATAAGTTGACATATATGGTTAACATAAAGTCGGCTTTATATAACTATGCATGTTCGATGTCTGTACAGTTGCATATCACTGCTCTAATTTCGTACAGCTATCACTACGCAACGGGTGCCAAACTCAACCAAACCAATGTGGCAAGGTGGCACCTTACATGCACCGCACCGCACCCTCTATGGCATTGCCCAGGTGCTAGTGTAGTGTGCATTACGATGAGGAGTGCGGTGCACGCAGCAACAAACTGTGCCAGCAGTAATGAGAGCACCTCAGTTCCCAGGAAGGAGCCAAGTGTATTCTCATTTAATGATGAGGAACGTTGTGCATGCAGCAATGATTGCCCCAAGGATGAGAGTGCTGCTAGTCTTCCCCTCAGGTACTGGTACCAGCAATGCCAGCAGCAGCTACCAGCAGTATCAGCAGCAGTATCAGCAGTATCAGCAGCAGCGGCTATTTTCTGAGCCAGTATATGATGAGGAATGTGGTGCACGCAGCAATGACTGCCCCCAAAATAAGAGTGTCGCGAGACTTCTTTCGGCGAATGGCTCCTGCAGGGATGGGAGGGGAGACAGTGTTGGGAGGGGGGACAGTGTTGGGATGGGGGGCAGTGATGGGAGGGGGGGCAGTGATGGGAGGAGTGTGCAAAGGGGGGGAACGGGGGGGCTGGGGAAGAGAGAGGGAGAAAGAAGTGAGTGTCTCCCGGGACTTGTCTCTGCGGATGGCTCCTGCAAGAATGGGAGAGAGAAAGGAAGGGGGGAAGGGAAGCAGAACACAACGACACTTCTGAGCAGAGGGAAGGGGTTCGACAGCAGCTTGACACGGCTCTAGATGCTGAAGGAGCGGGATGGCTTGCCAAGCACAGCACCTACCAACCAGCACAGTACCCTTTGGTAGCACCTACCAACCCTTTGGTAGCACCTACCAACCAGCACAGTACCCTTTGGTAGCACCTACCAACCAGCACAGTACCCTTTGGTAGGACCTACCAACCAGCACAATACCCTTTGGCACAGCACAGCACCCACCAGCCAGCACAGCACCCACCAGCCAGCACAGCACCCACCAGCCAGCACAGTACCCTTGGCACGGCACAGCACAGCACCCACCCACCGACCACAGCACAGCACCCACCGAGCACAGCACAGCACCCACCAACCACAGCACAGCATCCACCGACCACAGCACAGCACCCACCGACCACAGCACAGCATCCACCGACCAGCCAGCAACCAGCCAGCACAGCACCCACCAGCCAGCACAGCACCCACCAACCAGCCAGCAACCAGCACAGCACAGCACCCACCAGCCAGCACAGCACCCACCAAGCACATTTCTGAGCAGAGGGAAGCGGTCGGACAGCAGCTTGACGCGGCTCTGGATGCTGGAGAAGAGGGAGCGCTGTGATGCCAAGGCCGCCTTGGTGCTCGCCGCGTGGGATATCAAGTCGTCCATCTGAAGGGGGGGGGTTGTGGGGGGCCAGGAGGGGGGGATGAGCATCATGGTCTGCTGCGATGCCAAGGCCGCCTTGGTGCTCGCCGCGTGGGATATCAACTCCTCCATCTGAAGGGGGGGTGCGTTGGGGGGTTTGAAATGTTGCAGTGAGGCACGAGAGAGGGAATGGGGACGATGGTACATTGTGATGCCAGTGCTGTAACCACTTGAGCTATGCTGTAACCACCTGAGCTATGCTGTAACCACCTGAGCTATACAGTAACCATCTGAGCTATGCTGTAACCACCTGAGCTATACAGTAACCATCTGAGCTATGCTGTAACCACCTGAGCTATGCTGTAACCACCTGAGCTATACAGTAACCATCTGAGCTATGCTGCAATCACCTGGGCTATGTTGCCGTGGATTGCCCGCCTCTCCAGCAGTTGACTTTGGCTGTTGGAACCTGAAGGCTGGCAGCAGTGAGAGTAAGAGCAGGGTGATGGAGAATTGGCAAGAATAACATCACATCGCGGAATATGAAACAAGAACAGAGCCTCACAGCAGCATGCACCACAGCAGCATGCACCACAGCAGCATGCATGACATGACAGCACACAAGGCAAGACGCATGCCCAACACACAAAACATGAGCACACAGCACACCACGAGCATATAACCGGCACACGTGACAGGCCACATATGATTGCAAGTCGCAGTAATGAGCTCAAATTTTACATCTCGGATGCTTCAAGGTCACCATTCTTTCTGTGTTGCTCCTCCCATGACAATCACAGCTATTGGCTCTTTACTTCATTCCGATGTGGATTTCTCACCAAGAACTGATGAAATCATGGTTCTGAGCTCGAGCTCAGGAATGAACCCACGCCGGAATGAAGTAAAAGGCCGATAGCTGTGCTTGTCATGACACGAGCAGCAGAGAAAGAGCGGCGACCTTGCAGCACACGAGACGTAAAATTTCAATTAGTTACTGCGACTTGCAATCACGTGTAGCCTGTCACAGCGCACCACGAGCACACGGCTGTGGTGGAGGTAGAGGGCCGCGAGGAGGAGAGTAGGTGGGGAAGAACTGTGTGCCGGACGCAGTAGCACGGCAGCAGCATGGACGACACACCCCAGGCAGCATGCATGCATGGCAGCAGGACGCATGACAGATCCCAGGCAGCACGCATGCATGGCAGCAGGACGCATGACAGATCCCAGGCAGCACGCATGCATGGCAACAGGACGCATGACAGATCCCAGGCAGCACGCATGCATGGCAGCAGGACGCATGACAGATCCCAGGCAGCACGCATGCATGGCAGCAGGACGCATGACAGATCCCAGGCAGCACGCATGCATGGCAGCAGGACGCATGACAGATCCCAGGCAGCACGCATGCATGGCAGCAGGACGCATGACAGATCCCAGGCAGCACGCATGCATGGCAGCAGGACGCATGACAGATCCCAGGCAGCACGCATGCATGGCAGCAGGACGCATGACAGATCCCAGGCAGCACGCATGCATGGCAGCAGGACGCATGACAGATCCCAGGCAGCACGCATGCATGGCAGCAGGACGCATGACAGATCCCAGGCAGCACGCATGCATGGCAGCAGGACGCATGACAGATCCCAGGCAGCACGCATGCATGGCAGCAGGACGCATGACAGATCCCAGGCAGCACGCATGCATGGCAGCAGGACGCATGACAGATCCCAGGCAGCACGCATGCATGGCAGCAGGACGCATGACAGATCCCAGGCAGCACGCATGCATGGCAGCAGGGCACACAGCATACCCCAGGCAGCACGCAGCTCACCACGAGGAGGTCGGCGGCGGTGGAGGCAGAGGGTCGCGAGGAGGAGAGCAGCTGGGCGTGTTGGCGCATCATGGCCAGATTGCCCCGCGTGCGCCGAAACTCCTGATGGCCGCGGCAAAGAGGGGGCAAGAGGTGGGGTGAGACGCGTGGGTGGGAGGAGGGAACAGGCGAGCAGGAGGAGAGCAGCTCACCATGTTGGCTCCTTATGGTCAGCCAGCCTCGATTGCAGCGTGAAACTCTTGCTGCCACCGTGCATTAGCATCACACGGGGCGACTTTTGAGTCGGATCAAAAGTCAGCTCTTGCTGGCATGACAAATAGCCACCATACGGGGTTCCCCGGTGGGTGGGAGGGGCGAGTCATGAGGAGGCAAGTGCGTGTCCACCTACCTGAGTGAACTCTTGCAGTATGTCTCGGTGCCGCGCCACCTTCTGAGAGAGCGACGCCGTGGCAGCAGTACCCTCAGAGCCGCCCCCGCCACTGCAGCAGCGGCTCATGCGCTCGTTGGCGTCGCTCAGCCGCTGCAGCTGCGCCTCGATCGCCTTCTCCATTGCCACTACGGACCCCTCGCTGCTGCCATCACTTCCCTCCCCGTAGCCTGTGCAACGGGATGGGGAGGACGGGGGGATGAGAATGATGCAAGGAGGATGAGCGCACACTCATCTGCGCCGCTCAGCCGCTGCACGTGCGCTGCGCCTCCATCGCCTTCGCCATCGCCACTACCGACCCCTCGCTGCTGCCGTCGCCTCCCTCCCCGTAGCCTGCATAAGGGGAGTGACGCGCACAGGGGCGAGGGGCGGGAAAATGGAGGCGAGGGAAAATGGAGGGGCGGGAAAATGGAGGGGCGGAATGATGTGCGGAGGAAGAGAGGCCACTCGTTGGCGCCGCTCAGTCGATGCAGCTGTGGCTCTATCTCTCTACCAACCCCCCCCAACCCGCCAACCCCCTCAACCCTCCCCCCGACCCATCCTCCCCACCCCCCCACTCCCCCCCCCCGACCCCTCAACGCCATGCTGCAGAGCTTAGCATACGACGACAGCTCCACGACCAGGTCGCATTCCAGCTTCACATCCAGGCATGCTGTGCCATACTGGTCAGACATAAACACTCGCGCTCACCGTTGTGTGACAGCATGCTGCATAACTTGGCGTACGACGACCGCTTCACGTCCAGGTATGCTGTGGCATGAAGGTGCATAGCTGGTCGGACAATGGCCTGTGCTCACCAATACAAGAGGACTTGGTTTCAGCATGCTGCGACGTGGAATGCTTACCGTTGTGCGACAGCACGCTGCGACGTGGAATGCCTATCGTTGTGCGACAGCACGCTGCGACGTGGAATGCCTACCGTTGTGCGACAGCACGCTGCGACGTGGAAAGCCCACCGTTGTGCGACAGCACGCTGCGACGTAGAAAGCCTACCGTTGTGTGACAGCACGCTGCGACGTGGAAAGCCTACCGTTGTGCGACAGCACGCTGCAGAGCTTGGCGTACGACGACAGCTTGACGTCCAGGTCGCCCTCCAGCTTCCGAGCCTCGCGCCGAAGCTCTTCCCATGGCGCGCCCGAGTCGTCGCCAGCCATCCTCGTCTAATCCGCTGCGCCGCTTACAGCATCTATGGCGCGCGGTTACGCGGAAGCGGTATAGCAGAATACTGAAGACCGTCCTCCGCACTGCTTTAAAGCACCTAGAACTGTCGGCTTTTAGAGCGATTGTGAGAGGTTCAACGAGCACTTCCACGCGCCGCTAACAACATTCACAACGCCCGACTATGTCGAGTGTTAAAAATACAGCTAGAAAAAGGAGCTAAAAAGTTTTTTTCTGCTGCCACGAGCCTAGTTGATAACTAGCTGATGGCACAGCGGGTGCGCGAACAGCCTTATCCACTACAACGCAAGCCCGAGTCACGGAAAAAGCCGAGTCGACGGATAGTCGGCCTGCGTAAGCGACCTTCCCTAGTTCGCAGTTTCAGGGTCTCGAGCCGAATTCATCGCGTGAGCCTTCGGTCAGAAGCTCGCGTTTCCGCTAACTCAGGAATCTGGATGAAGCTAGAATCTGACTGCTAGACTAAAAATCTGCCCGTTGGTTTGGCGAGGGCTGACCTCTTTAGATAATCCCTGGTTTGGTAACGCAACAGGATGAGGCTCGACAGGCCCAAAAGGCCAGGCTTGGGTTTCTGGCGGGAAATGAAGCCCGGCACAGGTTTGGAGACTACAAGAGAGCCTGGGCGTTTTGTGGTTTATGCCAGGTTCGCACTGGGGTTTGGTCTGGAACCCAGCGGGTCGCCGTTTCTTTGTCGTAGTTTCACTCGGATCTTTTGCAGTTTTGGTCTGGTATGGAAGAGATGCTGTTACTCGTCGCCACGACAAAATCGCTTACGCCGCCGAAAATTCGCACCCATGTGATGGGCGCATGAATTTGAACCATTCGTACCACGCCGGATCTCCAAACCTTCGGGTTTGATCCCGGGGCGTTCCTAGTGTCGAAAAAACCATTCCCAGTGTCGACGAAAAGACCCCGCAAAACCCCTCAGGAACACCACCGTGTCGTATTGATAGCGCAGCTAGGGCACAAGATAGGGGCTTGCTCGTAGGAGCAGCGGTTGCTGGGCCTGGCACGCGTAGAGCCAGCTTCGAGAAGGCAGCAGCGTTGCCGCACAGCCGCCCTAGGATAGGAAAGCCTCCCTCATCGCATGCACAAGGGCTCATTAGGCGCCATCGCAACACAGACGCCTAAGCTCCGAAAACCGGTCCCTACAGGGAGCTTCGAAACGGCAGCCTTGGCTGTTGAGCAGCATTGGATATTACTAAGCGGGCAGCGGGATGAGGAGCGGGGGGTCGGCCGCCAAGGGCAGTCGAGCCAAGTCGAATTGGCCTGAAAGCTCGAACGCGCTTCAGAATCTTGTCCCTCGGAAGCGCGACGAGGCACGTAGCTGCTGTTACCGGTGCTGCTGTTGGTGATACCTTCGCTTCTGTGCTCTGAACCTTTCTCCGCTCCTCGACCATATCAAAAGTCCCGGGAGGATGATCCCCTATCGCTCTCCTGTGTTTCGTGCTTCCCGCCCCCCCCCCCCTCCGTTCCCGCTTTCCTCCCCCATCCCCTCTCCGCTCCCCCTTCTCCGCTGTTCCACCCTCCCCTCCCTCTCCCCCTGGCCTCGCTCGCGCTTCTTCTTCCCCCCTCCAGCCGTCACTGGTTTCATTCGTCTCCCCTGTGTTCCCGTTCCCCCCCTCTCCCCTGCTCCCTCCCCTTTCTCCCCCCTCCAGCCGTCCCCCCTCTCCCCCTGGCTCGCCCGCGCCCTGCTGTTCCTCCCCGGCCTTGCCGCGGGCTTCATTCGATACCCATGTCTCCCCATCCGCCCTTCTCCCCCTCCTCCCCCTCCCCCCCCCCCCCCTCCCCACTCTTCTCCCCCCTCCAGCCGTCCCCGTTCTCCCCCTGGCTCGCCCGCGCGCTGCTGTTCCTTCCCGGCTTTGCAACTGGCTTCATTCTCGGCCGCCTCCTGGGGGGAAGTGGAAAGGGCGGAGAGGGGAAGAAGAGGGAGCTGAAGGCGGGGGGAGGGGGGAGCAGTAGCGGACGGAAGGGGAGTGCCAGCGCGGGGGGGAGGTCCGCGCCAGTGTTTGGGGGGAAGGCGGAGACAGAGGGGGCGGGGGGGCTGGTGGTGGGGCGGGGGAGTGAGCTGAAGATGGTGCTGGTGGTGCGACAGGACCTCAAAATGGGGTCTGGGAAGGTCGCCGCCCAATGTGCTCGTGAGTGCCACTCTCTGCGCATATCATAGTGTGCTGCCATGCCGCGTCTGCCCCCACCCCACCAATCCTCCAGTGGGACGGCTTGTGGTGGGGAGGGGGAGAGAGCTGAAGTTGGTGCTGCTGCTGGTGCGGCAGGATCTCAAGATGGGATCTGGGAAGATCCCTGCTCAGTGCGCTAGTGAGTGCCTCTCCCCCTCTCGCTCCCTCCGTCCTCTGCTTCTATCACTGTGTGCTGCCGTGCCGTGTGGTGCCCCACCAATCCTCGAGTGGGTGGGCCTCTGGGGATGGCCCTGTGCTGGTGGTGGTGCCACAGGATGCGCTGGTGAGTGCCGTTCAGTGCGCTGGTGAGTGCCGCTCAGTGCATTCGTGAGTGCCGCTCAAAGCGCTCGTGAGCGTCGCTCAGTGCGCTCGTGAGTGCCGCGCGGCGCGCTCGTGAGTGCCGGCCTGCCTGTTTCTCTGTGACTTGTGCAACTGTGACTCCTCTCCTCTCCATACCCTCCCCAACCACAGCAGTCCCATCATCTTGCAATGCAACCACCCCATCCGTCGTCCGAAACACCTTTACTCATCTCCCCCTCATCTCCCCCTCATCTCCCCCTCATCTCCCCCTCACCTCCCCCTCATATCCCCCTCATCTCCCCCTCATCTCCCCCTCATCTCCCCCTCATCTCCCCCTCATCTCCCCCTCACCTCCCCCTCATATCCCCCTCATCTCCCCCTCATCTCCCCCTCATCTCCCCCTCATCTCCCCCTCACTCACCTCCCCCCACCTCCCCCTCACCTCCCCCTCACCTCCCCCTCACCTCCCCCTCACCTCCCCCTCACCTCCCCCTCACCTCCCCCTCACCTCCCGCTCACCTCCCCCTCACCTCCCCCTCATCTCCCCCTCACCTCCCCCTCATCTCCCCCTCATCTCCCCCTCATCTCCCCCTCATCTCCCCCTCATCTCCCCCTCATCTCCCCCTCATCTCCCCCTCATCTCCCCCTCATCTCCCCCTCATCTCCCCCTCATCTCCCCCTCATCTCCCCCTCATCTCCCCCTCATCTCCCCCTCATCTCCCCCTCATCTCCCCCTCATCTCCCCTCATCTCCCCCTCACCTCCCCTAATCTCCTCCTCATCTGCCCCTCACCTCCCCTAATCTCCTCCTCATCTGCCCCTCATCTCCCCCTCATCTCCCCGCTATCTCCCCCTCATCTCTCCCTCGTCTTTCCCCTACCAGATGCGGCAGTAGGCGTTCTCACAGACCTCCAATCAAGGTGTGCTCTTTTCCCATCGCTCCTCTTCCCCATCGCTCTCCGTTTGCGAATCCCCCCCGCCATCTTGACGCCCTCCCTTCCTAATCGTACTCTCGCTCTTACTTCCGTCTCTCCCGCCGTCCTCCACGCTCCCTTCCGTTGCAAGGTCCCCCTCTCTCGCCTGTCACTCACTCTCATGCTCTCCTCCGCGATTCCCTCTTCCCCATCCTCTAACCACGGAATGCATTTATGGTTAAGATATACTTTCCTGGCTATCTGTGTTGGGGCAGCAACAAGTCCCTGCTGCGGCATTACGAGGCGTGCGGGCAGCCAAAAATAGTGGTCACCTGCAGCAACCTCAAGGAGATGTGAGTCAGACGATCGAGTCCGATGATTGTGTAGGCGCCTCAGAGATCACCTTGAAGGGACGTGAGTCCGATGCAAGGTCTGGGAGTAGCGTTTTTGAGGCACCTCAATAATTGATGCAAGGTCTGGGAGTAGTGGTGACTTGCAGCCATCTCAAGGAGATGTGAGACAGACGGTTGTGCAGGTGCTTCAATCGTCTCAGAAATCACCTTGAAGGACTTGACTCCGCTGCAAAGTCCTGACCTTGCTCACGACGAGAAAGAGTGGATTGTTTGGCTCTTTTCAGACGTTTCATTATTGTCGGCCCAGGAAACCTATGCATAGGTTTAGTTTAGTTTCTTTTCAGGAAACCTATGCAGAGACGTTCCATAGGTTTAGTTGTTCGGCTTGTGGCCGCCTCTGCATATTTATTCAGATCCATCTGCGTTTCTTTTCTCTTGTCTTCCATTTTTGCTGTCTGCACTTGTGGCACATGCATAACCCACGCTTATTGCAGGAGCGAGTCGAGAGGGAACTGCGAGTGTGTGTCTTTTAGTGTGCACCTATGTGCACTTGAAGTGTCTCATTCATGTGCATTTCTCCTTCGCACCTATGCTGCATGCTTGCACCACCCCCACCCCCATCAAGTGCAGGAACGAGTTGAGAGGGAAGGCGCAGCAGCACCGGCTGCCGGTCTACACTGTCTGCGATGCTGGCAGGACTCAGGTAGGCCTCAGGTGATGCTTCAGGCAGGCCTCAGGTGATGCTTCAGGTAGGCCTCAGGTGATCTTTCAGGTAGGCCTCTGTGATGCTTCAGGTAGGCCTCTGTGATGCTTCAGGTATTGCATCAGCTAGGCCTTAGGTGTGCATCAGGTGATGCTTCAGGTAGGGATGAGGTGATTGTTCAGGTATGGCTCAGGCAATAGTTTAGGTATGTCTCATGTGTGATTGTTCAGGTATGGCTCAGGCAATAGTTTAGGTATGTCTCATGTATGATTGTTCAGGTATGGCTCAGGCAATAGTTTAGGTATGTCTCATGTGTGATTGTTCAGGTATGGCTCAGGCAATAGTTCAGGTATGTCTCATGTGATTCTTCAGGTAATTCTGGTAGGATCTGAGCGGTTCTGTCACAACTGAGGTGATTCTTCAGGTGATGATGGCTCGTACTGCCCTGTTTGCTGGCGCAACGCCACTAGGCCATTGTCTCTGTCCCACCCATGCTCTACCCCCACCCATGCTCTACCCCCACCCATGCTCTACTCCCACCCATGCTCTACTCCCACCCATGCTCTACCCCCACCCATGCTCTACTCCCACCCATGCTCTACTCCCACCCATGCTCTACTCCCACCCATGCTCTACTCCCACCCATGCTCTACTCCCACCCATGCTCTACTCGCACCTGTGCTCTACCCCCACCCGTGTTTATCCCCACCTGTGCTCCACCCCCACCCGTGCTCCACCCCCCTCTCATGCGCTACCCCCCTCCCATTCTCCACTCCCCTCCCATGCTCTACCCCCCTCCCATGCTCTACACCCCTCCCATGCTCCACATGCCGCGTGCTGCCCTATCGCATCAATGATGGCAGCAGGGTCCAAGACAGTCCTTGCCATGGGGCCAGGTTACCGCGCTTCCCCACTCTCAAGTCGACTCACAATCACACCCCTATCGCCCGACCTTCCTCCCACTGCCCTACCCCTCCTGGCAGGTGGCAGCAGGCTCCAAGACAGTCCTTGCTGTGGGGCCAGGTTAGTGCACCTCCCCCTTTTATTTCTTTCCACCTTAGCTGCACTCCCTTCCCCCCACCACCCCTCCCCCTCCTCCCTCTCTCCACCCTCTTCTCTGTCTCTTCCTCTCCCCTCTTTCACTCCCAAAGCCCCTCATTCTAACCCACTCACATCAAGCCCCTCACTCCAACCTACTCACAGCAAGCCCCAAGCTCACTTGAATGCCCTCCCTCCCTCTTTCTACCCCAAGTCCCATCTGACCCCCTCCCTCCCACTCCCTCGCACTCCCTCCAGAATCCTGAGGCACATCAGAAACCCCCTTTTGTGCGCTAAGTTCCTCCAGCGCCCTGTACTCTCACTCCCACCTGTCACACTCCCACCACCATCCAATCTCTGCGTGCTCGCCCTCTCGCTGTGCAAGGCATCACGGCTGCACAGCAGCATTGTTACCCTGTGGTGTGGACCCTGCAGCTGTTGTATGTTCTCTATGTGCTCCTTTTCTTCCAACCAACTCTTGGTGCTGCTTTTCTGTCTTTTCCCTCATGCAGCAAACGATGCTTTTCAACCAACTGTCTTGCGCTAGCAACTTGCTTTCTTCCCCTCTCCCATCTCCCTCCCTTCCCCCTCCCTCGTCTGCTGACAATTCAGGGCCCAAAGCACTTGTAGATTCAGTAACAGGCAATCAGCGTTTGTTGTGAGCAGCACAGCACAGCATGTGCCTTGTGATAGTAACACCACAGCATCTGACTTTCCTACGAAGTTGTCAAATCAGCCGCTTGGTCTGGAAGAACGTATATTACAAAACTGAAAGAAAGGTAAATGTTGTTAATGTTAGAAGAAAAACTGAATAAGTGTTGAATAGAGAGAGAGAGAACAAGGGTATATACCTAAGAGTGTTGTACCCTCTAAGAGGTGACCCTATGCAGTCTATACAAATATGAGTTACTATGCATATATTTGACACACCCCCAAGACTGCATAGGGGCAAATCCTAAACAAGCAGCTTAGAGCGGCACTACTAGTCCAGCCACTGAGACAAGGGTCTAAATGTCAACTTATACATATTATCTATGTAGAAGTTATAGGCTAGACTGAGGTATGCTTCTAGTGAGTACAACCAACTAGTATTTGTTCTAGGTTTCCACCTCTAGTAATCATTCGTTTCTACGTTAACATGGTATCACGCTTAGGTTAGGATCCCCCCGCCTACCGCTTCCGCCCGTCGCGCCTCCTAGGCCCCGTCGCGCCCCCTAGGCCCCGTCGCGCCCCCCCTGGGCCCCGTCGCGCTCGTTAGGCCCCGTCGCGCCCCCCCTGGGCCCCGTCGTGCCCGCTGGGCCCCGTCGCGCCTCCTAGGCCCCGTCGCGCTCCCCCTGGGCCCCGTCGCGCCCGCTGGGTCCCGTCGCGACCCCTAGGCCCTAACGCGCCCCCGCTGGGCCCCGTTGCGCCTCCTAGGCCCCGTCGCGCCCCCCATGGGCCCCGTCGAGCCCGCTGAGCCCCGTCGTGCCTCCTAGGCATCGTCGCGCCTCCTAAGCCCCGTCGCGTCCCCCCCCTCTGGGCCCCATCGCGCCCGTTCGGCCCCGTCGCGCCCCTCCTAGGCCCCGTCGCGCCCGCTGGGCCCCTTCGCGCTTCCTAGGCCCCGTCGCGCCTGCTAGGCCCCGTCGCGCCCCCCCTGGGCCCCGTCGCGCCCGTTAGGCCCCGTCGCGGCCCCCCTGGGCCCCGTCGTGCCCGCTGGTCCCCGTCGCGCCTCCTCGGCCCCGTCGCGCCCCCCCTGGGCCCCGTCGTGCCCGCTGGGCCCCGTCGCGCCCCTTAGGCCCCGTCGCGCCCGCTGGCCCCTGTCGCGCCTGCTGTTAGCGCTCGCCCGCCTGGCCTCCTCCTAGTGCCGCTCGGCCTCCTCCTAGTGCCGCCCGGCCTCCTCCTAGTGCCGCCCGGCCTCCTCCTAGTGCCGCCCGGCCCCTTCCTAGCGCCGCCCGGCCTCTCCTCAGCGCTGCCCGGCCCCTCCTCGTGCCCGACCGGCCCCAGCAGCACCAGCCTGGCCCCTCCCAGCACCAGCCCGGCCCTAGAGCACCTGCCCGCCTCCCCTGCTCGGCCTGCCGTGTCCTCTCGGGCCCTGTGTCTTCTGCTTGCCTGCGCTGGGACGCCTAGCTGCTGCCCTACTGGAGAGTGCTGCCGCCGTGTCCCCGCGCCGCTGTGCTCCTGTGCCGCTGAGGAGCTGTGCTGCTGTGCCGCTGTGTCGCTGAGGAGCTGTGCCGCTGACCCTGCACGATGGCTGACTTTGTGCTCCGCCTGGACGCTGAGGGCCACGCGGTTGACTTCGCCGCCTGGCTCTCCGATCTTCGCCGCCAGCTTACAGGTCAGCGCCAGGATGGCCACTCTCTGGTTGTCCATGCTGATGGCTTGCTCCCCCGTCCCCCTGCACCTACTCCCCTCCCTGCTGACCCCTCCTCTGATGACCGTGAGGCTTTCTCTACTGCTGCGCTAGCCTGTGCGGTCTGGGACTCACGCGATGCAGTAGCTCAGGTTGCTATTAGTCACGCCCTCCCTGTGTCTGAGCGCTCGCGTTTTGCTACTGTTGAAACGGCCAAAGCTTATTTAGACGCCGTTATTGCTCGCTATTCCACCCCTGCCTCCGCTTCTGCTGGCCGCTTGCTCTTTCCGATGCTGTTCCCAGACCTGGCTGCCTTCCCTACTGTCGCAGATTTTGCCACTCATTTGCGTGCCCTAGAGACTCGCTATCGCACTGCCAGCACTGCTGCCCAGCTCACTGCGCTCCCCCCTCCTTTCTGCATGACGCTCTATTTTATCGCTATGCGCCTGCCAGACCGCCTCGCTAGTGCTCGCGACCACTTTCTTAGCCAGCACCCGGGTGACCTCACCCTGACCGCCTTTGTCGACACCCTCACTGAGATCGAGACTCGCCAGCGCACTATCGCTCAGTCGAGCGGTGCGCCGGCAGTCTCTATCTTTCACGGTTGTGCCTCATCCCCGTGCACGTTCACTGACGTTTCGGCTGCGGTCGCCACGGCGACCCCTCTTACCGAGACGGCTGCAGCTGTCCACCCGCAGCAGCGCTCGCGTCGCGGTGGCCGTGGCCGCCAGGGAGGTAGGGGTGGTGACGCAGGTGGTAGTGGTCGTGGTGGTGGTGACGGTAGTCCGCCTGAGGGGACTACCACCGGTGGGCAGGAGCAGCAGTCCCAGCAGCAGCAGGACCAGCCCCAGCCGCAGCCGCCGTCCCAGCAGCACCCGCCGCAGCCGTGGGCTCGTCTCCCGCCTGGTTGGCCCGGCACCTCCGGAGGCGGTGGCCGTGGTGGCGGCCCGCGCAGCTTGGCGTCTACCAGTGGCTCCAGTGCTGTGACCTGCCAGTACCAGCTTCAGACCGGGCCTCTCCGCGGCACTCTGTGCCGCCGCCCGCACCCGACCGCCCACTGTTTCCGCCGCCTCGACGATCTTTTTCGTCGTCGCTTTGGCCCGGCCCCGGACCTCCCTGACTGGCACAGCCTGCTCCGCCAGGGCGTGCCGATCTTTGAGTTAGACATGGATCAGATAGGTGCTGCTTTGCATGCTTTGTATGCTGACGCTTCTAGTGTTGATGGATCTTACTACCATGTGTACTCTAGTTTAGGTGTTTCACCCTTGTGTAGCTTAGCTTCCCCTGCTGCGACAGGCGTAGGACTGCCTAGGTTGCCTAGTCTAGTCGCTGCACCGGCTCCGTCCGCGGCCTCCGCCACTGCGTCGCTGTCCTTCACTCTCGACTCTGGTGCTTCTGCCTGCTTCTTCCGCGACCGTTCCACGCTCACGCCGCTTGCTGCACCTGCTGTTGTCTCTCTCGCTGACCCCTCTGCGGGTCCGGTCGTCGCGCGCAGTTCTACGTCCCTTCCCTGTCCGGCAGTTCCCTCGGGCTCCCTTACAGGCCTCCACGTTCCCTCGTTCTCCAGGAACCTGGTTGGTGTCGGCTGTCTCCAGGACCTCGGCGTCACCACCACGTTCCCCGGGCACGAGCGGTTCGCTGTCTGTTCTGAGGCTGTCTCAGGTTCCCCCCTTGCGACGTTCCCCCGGGACCCGGTGTCCGGTCTGTTTACCCTACACACCGCTTCCCCCCCGGTTGGTGCGTCCTCCCAGGTCGCTGCAGCTTGCTCGTGTCGGTCCCTCACTCACCCCTCCCTTCTCTGGCACCACCGCTTAGGTCACCCTGCTCTCCCGCGTCTGCGTCACATGTCCCAGCACGGTCTTGTCTTAGGTCTCCCCGCGTCGCTCCCTGCCCTTCCTCCCTCGACTGCGCCACCGTGCACGCCTTGCGTCGAGGGTCGGCTCCGCCGTGCTCCTCACTCCTCCTCGCTGCGTCCTGCTACTGCCCCCCTTCAGACCCTGCACTTGGACGTTTGGGGCCCTGCCCCCGTCCCCGGACCGCGCGATGAGCGCTACTTCCTTGTGCTCGTTGACGACTACACGCGCTACACCACGGTGTTTCCCCTGGAGCGGAAGGCCGACGTGCCCGACGTTCTTCTCCCGTGGGTTGTAGCTGCGCGTCTCCACCGCGGTCTCCCCGTGTTGTGTCTCCACTCCGACCGTGGCGGCGAGTTCGCCTCTGGTCGGCTTGGACAGTTCTGTCGTGCGGAGGGCATCACCCAGTCGTACACGTTGCCGGACTCGCCACAGCAGAATGGGGTTGCTGAGCGCCGCATCGGCTTGGTCATGGAGGTCGCCCGTACTTCCATGATCCATGCCGATGCCCCCCATTTTCTGTGGCCGTTCGCTGTTCGCTACGCGGCTCACCAGCTTAACCTGTGGCCACGCTCCCAGCGGCCGCAGGTTTCGCCGACCCTCCTTTGGACCGGGTCCCCCGGTGACGCGTCTGCGTTCCACGTCTGGGGCTGCCTTGCTCACGTTCGTGCCTCTGGCACGGACAAGCTCACTGCCCGCACTGTCCCCTGTGTCTTCCTCGGTTTCCCCCTGGACTCGTCTGACTGGCTTTTCTACCACCCGCCGTCTCACCGCTTCCTCCACTCTCGTGACGTCACCTTTGACGAGTCCGTCTCCTTCTACCGCCGCTTCCCTCACCGAGGTCTCCCAGTTGCCCCCCCCTTTTCCTTGCTCCCTCTCCCACGGTAGCCCCTGCCCCTCTCCCGCCTCGTCCTGCCCCGTCTGGTGTCTCCCACGTCACTCCCCTCCCGTCGGTTGTCCCCGTTGAGGAGTCTGCTGACTCTGGTGGTACCCCCGGTCCGTCCTTGCCGCGTCCCCCTTCCCCAGTGCCTCCGCCCCCACTGTCGCAGTCGCCGACCCCGCTGCCGCCGCCGTCGCCGTCGCCGCCGCAGCCGTCGCCGCTGTCGCCGCCACTGCCGCCGCTGCTCTCGGCCCCTGGGGGTGCTGGTGTGGAGGAGGGTGTTCGTCCTGCGGCTTCTGGGGGTGCCGCTGGTGTTGGAGGGGGTTCTCGCTCTTGGGGTGTTGGTTCTGGGGGTGCTGCTATTGAGTGTTCTGCCGACGGTCGTTCTGCCTCTGCTGGTCCGAGAGTTCCGGCCCAGCCGTCGTCGCCGCCACAGCAGCCGTCGCCACCGGTTTCCGCTCTCCGCCTGCTCGGCCTTCCCTCCCCGGACCGCGCGCCGGTGTCTCCCCCACCGCCTCCTGACCTCCCTGTCTACGGTCCTGTGTTCCCGCCGCCAGACTCGTCTCCGGCCCGTCTTCCTCCTCGTTCCCCTCCTGTGTCTCCTCCGCTGTCCCCTGACCCTACCCCTCCGTCTCACGTTTGGGCTCGCCGTCCCTCCCGTGCTCGTCCCGTCTCTCCTGTCCTGCCCACCCACCCTATGTTGCTCCGTTCCCACTCGTCTCGTCCTCCCCTCCTCCCGTCCCCTCCTCCCTCGTCCCTTGCTGTTGCACCTCCTCCGTTCTCTGACTACCTCCGTGCTGCTCGTCCCCTTGTCCCTCGGGTCCTTGCCTCTCTT